GTGTGGAACGAGCTGCCGCTGGCGGTTCGCAATGCCGACTCGGTACCACAATTTCGCCGTCGATTGCGCGCCTACCTCGCTAGCCGCCACTAATAACTCAAACTATGAAATGAACGTTCGTTGTCGTGCGATTTTAGTTTTTAGATTATAGATTTTAGATTTAAGTTTATAATACTCCATTTTTGTCTCGTTTTTACCTTTTTCCGCTATTGTAACTACCATAAGTAATACCCACCCATGTAAAACCTTCTGTAATAATCTCCAGTTTCAGTTCACTATCTCTATGAGATGAACTTTAATAAACCAACTATCAATCAATCAATCAATCTCTCTCTTTTGTGCTTGTGGGCTCGCTGCTGCTTTTTTCAACGTGCGTGTCTTCTGCTGTCGATCTCTTCCCGTTCTCTCTCTCTCGTTCTCTCTCTCTCTCGTTCTCTCTCTCTCGTTCTCTCTTTCTCGTTCTCTCTGTCTTTTACTGCTGGTGAGCTTGCTGCTGCTTTTTTTAACGCGCGTGTCTGCTGCAGCTGTCGCTCTCTTCTCGTTCTCACTCTCACTTTTTGTACTTGGGGGCTCGCTGCTGCTTTTTTCAACGCGCGTGTCTGCTGCGTTTGTCGCTCTCTTCTCGTTCTCACTCTCTCTTTTTGTGCTTGTGGGCTCGCTGCTGCTTTTTCCAACGCGCGTGTCTGCAGCTGCTGTCGCTCTCTTCCCGTTCTCTCTTTCTTTTACTATTTGTTGGCTCGCTCTGTCTCTTTTTCGTTCTCTCTCTCTTTTACTGCTCGTGGGCTCGCTGCTGCTTTTTTCAACGCGCGTGTTTTCTGCTACTGTCGCTCTCTTCTCGTTCTCTCTCTCTCTCGTTCTCTCTCTCTCGTTCTCTCTGTCTTTTACTGCTGGTAAGCTTGCTGCTGCTTTTTTTAACGCGCGTGTCTGCTGCTGCAGTCGCTCTCTTCTCGTTCTCTCTCTCTCTCTTTTGTGCTTGTGGGCTCGCTGCTGCTTTTTTTAACGTGCGTGTCTTCTGCTGTCGATCTCTTCCCGTTCTCTCTCTTTCGTTCTCTCTCTCTCGTTCTCTCTCTCTCGTTCTCTCTCCCTCGTTCTCTCTGTCTTTTACTGCTGGTGAGCTTGCTGCTCCTTTTTTTAACGCGCGTGTCTGCTGCTGCTGTCGCTTTCTTCTCGTTCTCACTCTCATTTTTTGTGCTTGTGGGCTCGCTGCTGCTTTTTCCAACGCGCGTGTCTGCAGCTGCTGTCGCTCTCTTCCCGTTCTTCCTTCCTTTTACTATTTGTTGGCTCGCTCTGTCTCTTTTTCGTTCTCTCTCTCTTTTACTGCTCGTGGGCTCGCTGCTGCTTTTTTCAACGCGCGTGTCTTTTGCTACTGTCGCTCTCTTCTCGTTCTCTCTCTCTCTCTCTCGTTCTCTCTCTCTCTCGTTCTCTCTGTCTTTTACTGCTGGTGAGCTTGCTGCTGCTTTTTAAAACGCGCGTGTCTGCTGCTGCTGTACTTCTCTTTCCGCTCTCTCCTTCTATTACTGTTGGTGGGCTCGCTCTGTCTCTCTCTCGTGCCCTATCTCTCTTCTACTGCTGCTGGGCTCGCTGCTGCTTTTTTCAACATGCGTGTCTGCTGCTGCTCTCGCTCTCTTCTCGTTCTCTCTCTCTCTTTTACTGCTTATCAGCTCGCTGCTGCTTTTTTTAATGCACGTGTCTGCTACTGTCGCTCTCTTCTCGTTCTCTCTCTCTCTCTCTCGTTCTCTCTCTCTCTCTCGTTCTCTCTGTCTTTTACTGCTGGTGAGCTTGCTGCTGCTTTTTAAAACGCGCGTGTCTGCTGCTGCTGTACTTCTCTTTCCGCTCTCTCCTTCTATTACTGTTGGTGGGCTCGCTCTGTCTCTCTCTCGTGCCCTATCTCTCTTCTACTGCTGCTGGGCTCGCTGCTGCTTTTTTCAACGCGCGTGTCTGCTGCTGCTCTCGCTCTTTTCTCGTTCTCTCTCTCTCTTTTACTGCTTATCAGCTCGCTGCTGCTTTTTTTAATGCACGTGTCTGCTGCTGCTCTCGCTCTCTTCTCGTTCTCTCTCTCTCTCTTTTGTGCTTGTGGGCTCGCTGCTGCTTTTTTTAACATGCGTGTCTTCTGCTGTCGATCTCTTCCCGTTCTCTTTCTCTCGTTCTCTCTGTCTTTTACTGCTGGTGAGCTTGCTGCTGCTTTTTTTAACGCGCGTGTCTGCTGCTGCTGTCGCTCTCTTCTAGTATTCTTTTTCTCTTTTTGTGCTTGTGGGCTCGCTGCTGCTTTTTTCAACGCGCGTGCCTGCTGCTGTCGCTCTCTTCTCGTTCTTTCTTTCTTTTACTATTTGTGGGCTCGTTCTCTCTATCTTTTACTGCTCGTGGGCTCGCTGCTGCTTTTTCCAACGCGCGTGTCTGCTGCTGTCGCTCTCTTCTCGTTCTCTCTCTCTCTTTTACTGCTCGTGGGCTCGGTGCTGCTTTTTTCAACGCGCGTGCCTGCTGCTGTCGCTCTCTTCTCGTTCTCTCTCTCTCTTTTACTGCTCGTGGGCTCGCTGCTGCTTTTTTTAACGCGCGTGTCTTCTGCTGCTGTCGCTCTCTTCCCGTTCACTCTTTCTTCTACTATTTGTGGGCTCGCTTTGTCTCTCTTTCGTTCTCTCTCTCTTTTACTGCTCGTGGGCTCGCCGCTGCTTTTTCCAATGCGCGTGTCTGCAGCTGCTGTCGCTCTCTTCTCGTTCTCACTCTCTCTTTTTGTGCTTGTGGGCTCGCTGCTGCTTTTTTCAACGCGCGTGTCTGCAGCTGCTGTCGCTCTCTTCCCGTTCTCTCTTTCTTTTACTATTTGTTGGCTCGCTCTGTCTTTTTTTCGTTCTCTCTCCTTTTTACTGCTCGTGGGCTCGCTGCTGCTTTTTTCAACGCGCGGGNTGATGACGATCGCGTCCGGACGATGGTGGACCCGGCGGCGCGGTGGACGCGGCTTCGGGGCCAGACGAGCACGATCATCGCTGGTTGGCATCGGGGGCTGCTGCTTGCACCGTTGGCGTCGTCGACGGTCCACAAGGACGTAGTTGTCGCAGTCCTCGGCGACGTTGTTGTTCTCGTCCGGCCGTGTGGAGCCCGGGGCACCCGCGCTGCGCTTCGGCGGTACACGCATCTCCGGAGACGATTCCGCCGGCCGCTTGTTCGTTGCGCCGCCCGAGGACGCAGGGGAAGTGCCGACCGCCTTATCTGCCGCGGGAGGGCGAGGCGACACTTGGCTCGCCAGCGTCTTTTCCAACGCTGAGAGTGCCATACCCAGGCTCAGCTGATAGCTGGTAACCTCCTTGTGAAGGTTGGACTTGCCTTTTATGAACTGGCCAAGTCCCCGTATAAGGCCGTCCATCCGCTCCAGCTTGTCATCCAAGGACCCGGTTGCGAATTCTGCGGGAGACGGGAGCTTGGCGTCCTTCTCCTTGCAATGCAAAGGAGCGACAATTATTTTTTGTGTAATTGCCTTCACCGTTGTGCAAGGAGACATCCACGGTAACGAGAGCGAGCCACGCCTCACCAGGCTCGGCGTGCTGGGTCTCTCGCCCGACGTCTGCCCCTGCGGGCTCTGCAGCCCGTCATTCACGGCCGATGACATGCCGCGAGTCACACGCGCCTTCGGCGTTCGCGCCACAGCGCGAGGCAGGCACTCACACCAACACGCGAGGCTCACACCGACAGCACTGTACGCGGGAAAACCCACAGCAGAGAGAAAAAAGCACTGCTGCAGCTGTACACGCACAGCTACAGAGCTGCGCACACATGTATCGACGCGGCGCGTCAAACTACACACTTGGCGCACACACAGACACTTTGGCACTACGTTTGACTGCACTAGGATTTAAAAACACAGGAGCGCGAGCAACACACGTCCTATTCGCTTTCTGGTCCAAGCGCGAATCCCCGTGTGTGTGTGTGTGTGTGTGTGTGTGATAAATGCCTTTATTGAGATTTTTTTGACGGTGAAACCCGAAAAAGTTTCATTACGATCGGTTTAATATTTCAAATATTATTAAAATTTTTCGAAGAATTGAAGTGTACTTTGTGATATTTCACCCGTGACTTTGAAAAATGAGCAGCTAAGCTACAATATAAGACCAGAAAGTTTAACATTTATCGATTATTTCAAAAGTTTAATCGCGAAGAAGAAAATTTCATTTATTTTTTTTCATTTTTTGGAAATTTAATTATTTCATAGCATTTATAATAATACCTGTAGTACTGTTCTGCGACTCCGATTCTCGCTTGAATCGGCTATCGTCAGATAGAGTGCGGTCAGTGGCAATGGGTGATAGGGAGAAAAAAACAAGCGGTACACTGCACTTAATTTTAAATAAAGTAAAAATACTTGCTTATTTATTGATAACTTTAGAAACTTATAAATGATTGTAATAGTCGCTCGCAGGTTAAGTAGTCGCACGAGGTCATGCCTCTCTCAGCGTCACAGCCGAACTGAACGGTCGCGATCACAAGGGGTCGCACAGTGCGCCAGTCGCGACACAGAGATTTTCGGAGCACTCACACACACACATACACTGCCTTGCGGCCGGCACGCGATTCTACACACGCAAACATACTGCCCGCCTCGCTGCGAGGCAGCGAAATTGATACTTATCGCTTGATACAATAAATTTGAATGCCCAAGGCGCAAGGGACAAAGATGCAGAGTACATGAGTGTTGAGTAGAAAAAGCAAAAAACAAAATTTGATTGTTGGCGCAGTCATTGAGCTAGAGCTCATAACAACATAAATTTGACAAGTTTGCGCGTACAATGAATTCGATGATTCGAACGAAAACGAAAAAATGAATCTTTACAGGTACAATGTGACTATAAATGTATAGTCCGAAACAAACAGAACAATTTCTCGTATAATGTGTACCGTAAAGCTTGAAAAGAAAACAAATAGATAAGAAATAATGCAACAAATAGGCAGCTTGGCTGCTCGCTGTTGAGATGTGCTGCAGCTGCCCGCCGTGAGACGATGCCGTTTGAAGAGCTTCACTGGCCCGTTGCTCCGTCGGTGGGGACGACGACTTCGTTCTGTCCGATGGGTAGGCGAATAATTTTCGCAATTGGGCGAGTCAGAGTCGTCGTTGGCGTGCGTAAGGTCACCACGCGAGGCAGCCCATCTGCGCCAGGATGCACCATTTCAATCCTTGCCAGAGGCCATCGTTGCGGCGGTTGCAGATCATCGGTGAGCAAGACAAGGTCTCCTGATTGCACTGCAGGCATCTGCTTTAGCCATTTTTGACGCAGCTGCATGTGTTGCAGCACTTCTCTCTGCCATCGACGCCAAAAATGGTTTCGCATTTGGATGGTGTGTCGCCATCGAGGCAGCCCTTCAATGCCTTCCTCAGTGAACGGCTCAGGAACTGCCAAGAGCGAGCTTCCGATAAGGAAATGTCCAGGTGTGAGCGCAGCCATATCTTGAGGATCTGAGCTCAGAGGGCACAATGGGCGTGAGTTCAAGCAGGCCTCAATTTGAGTGGTGAGGGTGCTGAACTCTTCGAAGGTCAGTGTTGCCGCACCGACAACACGCTTCAGATGGGATTTGAAGGCTTTGACGGCCGCCTCCCATAATCCGCCAAAGTGAGGGGCGCGAGGCGGGATGAATTTCCATTGCACTTCTTCCTGGGCGAGCGCCGTCATAATTTCTTGCACGAAGGTAGACGATTGGTTGAAAAGTTGATGCAGCTCATTGGCAGCTCCTTGAAACGTAGTTCCACAATCTGAGTACATTGTGCGACTGAGTCCTCTTCTTGCAAAGAATCGTCGAAGAGCCATCAAAAATGTCTTGGTGCTGTAGTCAGACACAACTTCCAGGTGTACGGCTCGTGTTGCGAAGCAGACAAAGATAGCCACATACCCTTTGAATGACTTTTGGCCTCTGCCCTTGGAAGTGCGAAGGGCGAACGGGCCAGCGTAGTCTACACCTGTGACAGTGAAAGGTCTCGAAGGTGTGACCCGGGGTTCAGGTAGCGGTGCCATGAACTGTTCCAATCGACGGCCTTGAAAGCGAGTGCATGTGACACAGGCGTGTATTACCTGTCGTATAAGACTTCCTGACTGGAGAATCCACCATTGACGCCGCAAAAAGCTCTGCACTAATTGTGGGCCCCCGTGTAACGTGACTTCGTGAGCATGACGAACGAGCAGCCGCGCCAAATGGCTAGTCTTGGGAATGACAATAGGATGGCGTTCATTATAAGGCAGCAGAGAGTGAGTCAAGCGTCCGCCAACTCGAAGTAAGTCTTCCTCGTCAAGATATGGGTGGTGGCGGCGTAATCTGGCACTTCTGTAGTGGTCATCGCCCTTGTGAAGTCTATGTATCTCTTCTCGAAAGTGATACACTTGAACAGCTCGGGTAATGATAATTCGAGCTGCAGTGATTTCTTTGGCCGTGATTGTGGTGCTTGTATATTGAGCTTTGGTGGACGCGAGACAATTTTTCCACCGCAGGCAGTAAGCGACGACTCGATAGAGACGATTGAGCGATGAGAATCGAGTGAGGATATTCTCGATGGTATCATCCTCTGTTGATACGAAGCACGCTCGATCGATGCGTCGTTCCAATTGAGTGCTGACAATGGGCTCTTCTATGGTCGCAAAGCTCGTAGACGACAGGAGCCAAGGCGGTCCCCTCCACCAAAGCTCATTTCCTTGCAATTGATCAGGCGAGCATCCTCGTGAGGCCACATCAGCAGGATTATGCTTTGAGGCCACGTGGCTCCAGGCGGCGTTCGGCAGCAGGCTATGAATTTCGCTCACCCGGTTGGCGACGAAAACTTTCCAAGTGCACGGAGGTGCTCGAAGCCAGGCGAGCACTATTTGTGAATCTGTCCAACAGTGGATTGAAGCGATTGTGAGATTAATGTCTTGAAGGACTTTCTGCATGAGGCGAGCGAGCAGCGTCGCTCCACAGAGCTCGAGTCGAGGCACACTAACAGAGCGAATCGGTGCCACTTTACTCTTGGCGGTGAGTAAGTGCGAGGCATCCTGGCTGACGAGGTAGATCGCCGCGGCATAGGCTCTCTCCGAGGCATCGGAGAATCCGTGTAGCATCCTGAAGCTTTTGCTGTTGACACCGAGCCATCGCGGGATCCGGCAGGCTTGTAGAGCTGCGAGCTTGCGACGAAAGTCGAGCCAGAGTTCGGTGGTCGTGTGATCCGTGTGTTGGTCCCAATCGTGGCCTTGGAGCCAAAGGTGTTGTAACAGCATCTTGGCACGCACTGTTACAGGAGCCAGCCAGCCTGTGGGGTCGTAAATTCGAGCCACCTCCGAGAGAATGGTGCGCTTCGTGACTGTAGTGATCGTTGAAAGCTCAGGGACGGTGTAGCTGAACTCGTCAGTAGCAGGAGTCCAACGCAGTCCCAGTGTGGGCACAATCAATTCCTTGTCGAAGGCACGGTCTTCTGGCGATGCGCAGTGATTGCCCGAGAGGATGTCTGAACAATTCGCGGCCCATTTGTCCAATTGCATGCCAGCGCTGCGTAAGATCTCGATCAGATCTCTCCTTGCTTGTACAGCAGCGTCCACAGAATCACACGACACCAGCGCATCATCGACGTACATGTTTTCTTTCAGTATCTTTGACCCAATAGGAAAGCGCCTTGCTTCGTCCTCAGCCAATTGATTAATTACGCGCAGTGCAAGGTACGGTGCACAGGCGGTCCCGTATGTGACGGTCGTAAGCTCAAATTCTTGAACAGGATCCTCTGGATTGCAGCGCCACAGTATGCGTTGCCACGCGACGTCCTCCTCACGAACGTAAATCTGCCGGTACATTTTTACGATGTCCGCCGTGAATGCGTACTGGCCAAGCCTCCACCGCAGTAATATTGTAGATATGTCTTGTTGCAGCTTCGGTCCAGTATGCATGAAGTCGTTGAGTGACTTATTGTTGGCTACCTTCTGTGAAGCGTTGAAGACGACGCGTAGTTTTTTACCAACTACGGCGTGATGTGGTAAGTATGCAACATCGGTGTCGAAGCGATCTGTCGAAGCTTTCTTCATGTGGCCTAATGTCTCATACTCTTGCATGAATAAGCAGTATTGCTGGCGAAGCTGTGCGTCGTGGAGCAGACGTCGCTCGAGTGAGAGGAACCGTTGCTTAGCTATTCCATATGAGCCAGGTAGTTCGGGCTTGGCAATGAAGGGTAGTCGCACGTAGTAGCGACCTGAGTCGTCTCGCTGATGTGTCGATCGGAAGTGTTCTTCGCACGTATCGTCGGCTGGCGCCGATCCGGCGGCAGGTGTGAGCTCTTCAAGCTCCCAAAATTTCCGTAGGTCACTGCTCAGAGTGTCCGTTGATGTGAGCGTTATAGTGAACGCATCGAGAGTAGACTGGTGGGCCGTTGGCTTCGTGGTTGGTCCGGTGATGACCCAGCCAAACACCGTTTTGTATGCGGCTGGAGAGCCAGACGGTCCACGTCGTAGGCCTGCTCGGATGATGTCGGGCCACATTTCAGCGCCAATCAAGCAGTCGATGGGCGCGGGTGTCTCGTAGGCGGGGTCTGCGAGCTCCAGTCCTTGCAGGTGACTCCACTGTGAGCCGTTGATAGGTTGCTTTGGAAGTACAGACGTCAATTTGGTGAGGACTGCCGCTAAAACATGTATGGATAATTTAGGCGACGTGCATGATTGCAACGACAAGAGTACAGAGGATTTGGCCTTGACTGCAGTTTGACCGCCAAGACCGTTCACGGCGAGAGAGGTCGCTGTTCTGGATAGCGACAACGCTTGGGCCACCTTCTCGGTAACGAACGAGCCTTCCGCCGCGGGGTCGATCAAGGCCCGAATCACCATCCTTTCGCCGAGAGGACTGATAGCGACGACTCGTGCTGTTCCAAGCAGCGTCGTGCCTGACAAGGTAGCAGCATGAGCTACCAATGACTCTTCGCTGTTCGCAGACGCAGACGTCTGCTCCGATGTAGTGTCCTCGACTTTTGTTTGGCCTCGATGCAGCTTCGTATGATGAGCTTGTTTGCACGTTCGGCATTTGAACACCGATGGACATTCCGAGCCTTTATGTGACTTGTTCAGACAATTGTAGCAGAGGCTCTTGTCACGGGCGTATTTCCATCGTTGATCGATTGTGTAGCTGAGAAAGTCTGGACAAGATCCCAGACGATGATCTGCTGAGCACAGTGAACATTTGGCCTGTCGTCGTGACGATGAGTCTGCGCTGGCTGCATGATGAGCTGAAACAGATCTCGAGGGTCTTTGAGACGCCTCCTTGGAGCTTTTACTCTGTCGAGGTGATGTATCGGGGTCTGGACAGTTTGCCGTGTCCAGAGCTTGAACCTTGTTTTCCAAAAATTTGACCAATTGTGTGTAAGTTGGTGGTGCGCCGTCGTCCGGCAGGTGTTGCTCCCACAGCTCCCTCGTGTTGTTGTCGAGATTAAACACAATCAAGCTGACGAACCAGCGATCCCAATGCTCGACTGGTTCGCCTAGTGCGCTCAAGCCACGACGACACTCGTTGCTTGTGTCGAGCAGCCGAGTGATTTCTGCTACTGATTTTTTCACCGCTTTGGGCATGTACAGCAGCCGCTTCATATAGACCGAGATGCGTAGACGCTTATTTTCATAACGGCGACTGAGGGCCGTCCATGCTACCTCGAGATTGTCGGCATTAACCTCGATGTTCTTGATCGTGCGAAGGGCGTCGCCTTCGACGCAGGCCAATAGGTGTTGAAGTTTTAGCGTTGGCGTGAGCGATGGTGCGTCTTTCACCATTGATACAAACAGCGCTTTGAAGGAGTCCCAATCGGACTGCTGTCCGCTAAACTTCGGCAACGTGAGTTTCGGCAGTGATGTGGCTGTGGTCGACATTTGCACTACAGCCTGTGTGTTACTTGAAGCAGGCACTGTGTAGTCGAGCGCACGTGCTGAGAGGGCCGTAATCTTTTGCATGAGGTACGCTCTTGCTTCGGTGTACTGATTTTCGACTTCAGAGAATGCGTCGTTTACAAAATAGCTCTCCTCTTCGAGCTCCTTTTCAAGGCGAGACAAGGCAAGGTGACGATCCGTGTATTTTTTCCAGTACGACTCCAAAGTGCATAATCGCGCATTTAATGAGTCGAAGGTCAGATTCGCCTGCCCGAGTTTGTCTGTATTCTTGATAAAGTTTTTTATCATTTTCCCCGTCGTAGCCTGATCTTGTAGAGGCTCCTTGTGGTCACCCATCGTGAGTGAGAAACACTGTAGCTTCTATAAGATAACAATAGTGCACAAAAACTCGCGTGTAAACGTAGTACTTTGCAGCGCAGAGGTCACCGAACACAACACACTTGTCGATGAGTCGCGGCACTCGCGCGAATCGGAGCTTGTAGCAACACTGCGTACTGCGCAGTTACTTGAGAATGTAGGGGAGGTAACTCGCTTTCGGAGTTTCTAGGAATTTCGACCTCGCACAAAGAACGCGACTTAACCTGCACAGACGAATGTTCGAGAATGTTCTTTTTTCACTTTGTTCGATTTCAAGTTTCTTTTACACACCTCGATTACCCTTTGCACTTTCACACTTGATTTTTATTTAATTAGCACGATAGTTAATTAATCCGGATCTGAAGGACCATGTAGTACTGTTCTGCGACTCCGATTCTCGCTTGAATCGGCTATCGTCAGATAGAGTGCGGTCAGTGGCAATGGGTGATAGGGAGAAAAAAACAAGCGGTACACTGCACTTAATTTTAAATAAAGTAAAAATACTTGCGTATTTATTGATAACTTTAGAAACTTATAAATGATTGTAATAGTCGCTCGCAGGTTAAGTAGTCGCACGAGGTCATGCCTCTCTCAGCGTCACAGCCGAACTGAACGGTCGCGATCACAAGGGGTCGCACAGTGCGCCAGTCGCGACACAGAGATTTTCGGAGCACTCACACACACACATACACTGCCTTGCGGCCGGCACGCGATTCTACACACGCAAACAATACCCAAAATACCAACAATACATTTTTATGAGGAAGCTCTGTGCCAATGTAACAGTAGCGATTTTTTATTTTTTTTTAATCAGATAGGTTCAAAAAAGTGATAAGCCATTTTGCATTTCCCTCATGATCAAGGAAACATTACTAAGCATATAATATGGTGTTAGTAGTGAAAGCATAAAAAGCAAGCGTGTGAACGAGCGCGCATGATTGTGTCGGGAACATATAAGTATATAGGCTTCTAAAATACGGAGTCTACTCGCTTGCCGTAGTAGTAGCCGATACATTCAAATGCCGAGAACCTTTCCGCACACTTTGGCTGCTGCGAGTATTGACTCACGATGCTACTGCTCAACGCTCGTAACTTAGCGGTGGCTATGTAGCGTCGTGTATCTCTGTCTTTTTCACGCACGCTGGCCTCGCTCTCACCGTTCGTTGCGTGTACGTGTAGGTGCTAGTTGCTTTGACCAACGTAAACAAATACGCGCTCGCGCTTAGACTCAGAGATTGACGCATAGTGTATACAAATACATGTTAGGACTTACATATTTTTTCGACATTTTCATAAGCCTTTATAAATATACAACAAAACTAATATGTGTAAGTGAACATGAACTGTAGAGAGCCGTTGGAAAGGTCCGAGCGCCGAGCAGTAGTCAATCGTGATAATACTCGCCGCTTTAGAAATGAGTCAGCAGAGTCACGAACTCTCTCCGAGTCCCGGACAATAATAGCGCGCGAATGATTTTGTATCGGAGAAGTCTGTGTTATTACGATTATTGCTCGCTAACTTTATTTAATGGTACTTTTTCTACTCTATGCACTAACAGTGTGTGTTGTTGTTGGAGTAAGTTGATGTTGATCGCCTGGATTGAGTGGAGCAGGATTAAAAATGAAGTGGAGGCACAGATTAATGTTTAACACTATAAACTTTATTGAAACTGTAACTCAATGACTCTATGTGCTCGAACGAATATTATTTTATTAAGAGCGTTTAGCTAACAAAAATAGAAGAAAACTTGAGGTGCTCGAAGCAAGCGTTGCGTGTGCGGCAAGGGCTCGGTAGCAAGTGAGGCGCGCGAGCCGGACAGGCTGGAACATGCGCATAGGATGTGCGTCGCAGCGCCACATCAATCACGTACACTGAAAAAACGAACACTGTTCTGAGCACTGAAACCGACTTAGTAAACAAGCCAACGCAGCGCTTTAGTAGCCACTACCAAATCTTTCAGTAGAGCGCACTGAAACAACAAGGTTTCAGTAAGCGTGTGCTAGTCAAAGATTCGGTAGACATTACTGAGCCGGGCCAGTAAGCGCTACTGCATAGTCGAGTACTGATCCGCTTTGGTAGTCACTACTGAGCAGTTCAGTGCTCAGAACAGTGTTCGTTTTTTCAGTGTAGCTATGCGCGTGTTTCGCCTGGGGGAACACAGGGAGGCAAGAGGGCCCCCCGCTGATTGCGCTGTCGAGAAAGGCTCTCCCAACACTCCCTCCCCTTTCTCCGACTGCGTCACCTTTCACCACTCTCTACTGCTGACGTATTACGCTGAAACATAAAATCAAAAACATGTCGAAATGATTATTTATTAATGCTCAAATATAGAAAAATATAATCGAATTTTATATTAATCTATTCATAATTTTATCTCTAAGATACTCGTGGCTTTGGGCGGGCAGGGGCTTAGTCATTATGTCGGCTTCATTTTCTACTGTATTGACCCACTCTACAATTAATATACCTTCCATTGCGCACTTCTTAACATAATCCCCATGGGTGTCTGCCATATCCTTTTTCTTTCCACTCATTTCTCTCTCTCTCTCAAACACTCAACTATCCACTCAAGAGGATCATCAAAGTTTTTAAGTTTATGACATCCATCCATATGGGTACAGTCTATCGCGGATCTATTATCACACCAGATTGTTGCGGGTAACTTTGTCTCTCCTATCATGTCTCTTATCGACTTGTCAAGCGAAATAAGCTCTTGAGAAACTTCACTCATCGCAAGATATTCAGCTTGACAGGTCAAAAGAGTTATGAGTGTTTGTTTGTGACTTCTCCAGGCTATTGGGTCTCCAAACAATTTAATTACATACCCACTTGTGGACGTCGAGTCAAGATGGTCTCGAAAGCTTGAGTCAGTGTGACTCGTGAGGTCATTTACGATGCCTCTATACATCAATCCTACCTGTATCGTACCTTGTAAGTACCGGAAAATCCGCTTTACCTCTTTCCAATCATCTTCGCTGGGTGAGACTTGCTTTCTCGACAGATAGTTCACAGCATATGCTATGTCAGGCCTCGTCACCGTAGCTAGGTACATCAAACTACCTATTGCTTCTCTATAAGGGATTCTCTCAATGCTCGTTTTTGTTGGCTCTACTCGTTTCAACTCAATTTGTGATGCCTTGGATTTTAATTCTCTCGTTTTTACCTGTCGCGTTACCATCGGTGTGTTTTAGCTTTGCTCTCGTCCATTCTGAACCTTTCCAGTACTTTATTTGTATATTCTACGTGAGTTAATTTCATGACTTTGTTTTCTCGATTTCTAGTTATCTCCATACCCAAGTATCTCCATGGCTCTCTTAAGTCCTTCATCTCAAAAGTGTTGCACAATGTATCTTTTATTTCTTGTAATTTTTGCTTGCAGTTTCTGGCCAAGATTATATCGTCAAGGCTCGTGAAAGTCCTTTTCCAGGCCTAATTTCTCGACTTCAGCAGTAAATCTCTGTCGACGAGTAGTCGGGTAGCAAGCCGTGTGTGCGAAGAATGAAGGAAGATGGCGTGGATGTGGCGACGACACGAGCGCACGAGTCACCTCTCCTTCCACCTCTCTACTCACACGCTGCCGCTCATTACGTTCGAGCCCGTCTCCAGCTTAACAAGCATAACTGCCTCGCGCCCTTTTACTTTTTCATTCTCATAAAAATTTGTTCTCTCTTAATTTCATCTCTTAATTATTTGTCTTGAAAAGATTTTCACTAAATATATCCTACTGTAATAATACAGAGTGCGCAGTGAGGTGTAAGATTAGATTATACAATAAAATAAAAAGTGTTTCTTGTGTTCTTGCTCCGTTGAGCAGTTTATTACAATAATTCTACGTGTTTTATTAAAACAAACCATGGCCTCAACAAACCCATTTCATCAGGTTATGGCCCCAGGCACGCAAGTGAGTGGAAATCAAATGGATGAAGTGTCTAAGAAAAACACGGAGCAGCTCAATGAATTGATTGGAAAAAATGTCCATTTTGAAAAAGATATTGTCGAGGACCCGAACCCAAAAGAATCGGAGGAAAATTGGTACTCTGAAATGAAGGAGATTTCAGAGAGGAAAGAGGCAATACTATTCGAGACAAACGAGGGCATTCAAAAACTCAGAATTCAAATGAGCGAGCTTATCAAACTACAGATAATCATAGGCAAGTCCCTCCAAGATCTACTCAAGCTACAATGCGAGACGCAAAGGAAGTTTGACACGTTGAGCAAGACCCTGACAACTTTGCTGTTGGAGGACAGACAGCGTCAGGAGGAGCAGGATTTATCTAAAATTCCGAGAAACAAGGTACTGAACTCTATCTCTAATTCTGAGACAAACGAGTCAAATGACTCAATTATATTAAGAGAGTTAGAAAAGTCGGTTCGGAGCATAATCAATAAATCCCATGATATAAATACGAATAAAATCTTTATAAAAAGAAATTACTTACTAAATTCAAAAACTCAAATAGACATTTGGTTAGATCTCCTCAAGAGCGAGCTCAGAGACTATAACTTGCTCGAATTTATTGAAAAAGATCATTTTGAAAATTTAAACCCTGATGATATTGAGGATTGCAAGCGCAGAGTACGTGACATTGTAACCAATCGTCTTGATCCGTACTATCACAAGAAAATTTTGAACATATATGAACCTAAAGAATTGATTGAAAAATTAATAGAAATCAAGAGGATTGAGTGCAATGTCACGGGACAAACTATACGCGAAAAACTATATGCAACTAAAAAATCGACTAAAGAGAGCTCAAAATCCTTCATTGATCGCTTTGACGGACTCGTAAATGAATATGACATTGGTCATACTGTAAAAATGACGGAAGAGGAGAAAAGCGAGTTGTTCTTTCACAATATCAGAGATGCTTGTCCCGAGTTCAAAGCTAGTTACTTTGCCAGACAAAGCACAAATAATCCCCTCACGTATGAAGAAATGAAAAACTTATTGTTACAGATCGAACCGACCAAAGAGAAAA